GTATGTTAACCTCTACTGCATATAACACTGAGCGTATGTTGACCTCTACTGCATACAACACGGAGTGTATATTAACCTCTACTGCATACAACACTGAGTGTATGTTGACCTCTACTGCATACAACACTGAGTGTATGTTAACCTCTACTGCATATAACACGGAGTGTATATTAACCTCTACTGCATACAACACTGAGCGTATGTTGACCTCTACTGCATACAACACGGAGTGTATATTAACCTCTACGGCATACAACACTGAGTGTATGTTGACCTCTACTGCATACAACACTGAGTGTATGTGAACCTCTACTGCATATAACACGGAGTGTATATTAACCTCTACTCCATACAACACTGAGTGTATGTTGACCTCTACTGCATACAACACTGAGTGTATGTTAACCTCTCCTGCACATATCACTGAGTGTATATTAACCTCTACTGCATATAACACTGAGTGTATATTAACCTCTACTGCATACAACACTGAGCGTATATAAACCTCCACTGCATATAACACTGTGTATATATTAACCACTACTGTCTATAACACTGTGTAGATATTAACCTCTACTGCATACAACACTGAGTGTATGTTAACCTCTACTGCATACAACACAGAGTGTATAATAACCTCTACTGCATATAACACTGTGTATATATTAACCTCTACCGCATACAACATTGCGTGTATATTAACCTCTATTGCATATAACACTGAGCGTTTTAACCTACACTGCACATATCACTGAGAATATATTAACCTCTACTGCATATAAGACTGAGTGTATATTAACCTCTCCTGCACATAACCCTGAGTATATGTTACCATCTACTTCACATTACACTGAGTGTATATTAACCTCTACTGCACTGCGCTGTATAGAGTCTTATCATAACTATTAATTTTCCTATTAGATACGTGTAAGAACGTACCAGATATCGACATCCTATTTCAGGCAAGTTGTCCAACAGGATGATTACTGGCAAAATGTGCAGACTACAGTGTTATGATGTTCATCTGTTCCAATTCCACTTTCAGAAACGTATAACACGAGCTTTCATTTAAAGGATAACTGTAGTTCTTTAAAAATGTTGCTTTAATAACACAGTTTAATTCTTTTACAAAGAACTTTTTTTTATTTTCGTCACTGAAATATGTTCCAACAATCAATCTCTCCGCTGTACGGATCTCATAAATAGGGAGTGGTGTCCTTTTTATCGTGCTCATTTCGCTTTTATTTCGTGGTTATGGGACTTCAACACACGTGTTCAATTTGTCTCGGACTTAATTCACGATTCGTGTGACCATTTTCGTTTGAACGAAATCAGTTTATTCAGGTGTAGTATTCAGTATTGTGAAGTGAACCGTATAAAACATAACCTTAACGCGGTGGATCCGGATAGTTTGTGTTAAAGCACTACTGTTTTAACTTTGCCATGGCGCTTAAATGTATTCAGTCATATTTTGACACGTAAACCGACCGCAAAAGAATGTGAATTGGACACTTCAAAACAATACAAACGTTATCGAAACGTTACTAGGCTGAACACCTTCGACGAAACAATGCAGACTTAAAGTCCAAAACACAACTATGATATTTGTATCAAATACATAATCATCGACTAACCATTTCTTTTGATTTTGATTTTTAAGCTTCACCAAAAATGGGCGTATGTCGTTTCTCTAGCACGATAGTTTATTAATGATTTTATAGGTTACATTTCATTTAAATCATATAATTTCGTACTTCGTGATATAGTACATGTCATGTTAACATTTTATAAGATCGATATTTTGGTATACAGTACCGTATATTGTTACTCTATCATGTTTCACTTAATGTCACTCATGTATTATCTTTTAACTGTATAACAGGAGGTATGTCGCATGTTACACTTTGGGTATCATTGGAATCAATACTATTTTGCAGTTCACATCATAACCAATGAAAAACATTTTGTAGAAGTGAGTGAGTGAGTTGGGTTTAACGCTGCTTTTAACGATATTCCAGTTATATCGCGGCGTGTCAGCTTAATGTGGGACGAAAGCCCGAAGTGATGCAGATCTCAGACGTTTACCACTTCGGTGAAACCCACGAGCACGGGTATGGTGCTGACAAACCTAGAAACATAATCGGGGCGAACCGGGATTCGAACCCACAATCATAGGTTTCTGGCGTGCCCAAAGGACGCAACTCTGCACAACGCCTAAGACGACTGGGCCACCCGTGCCCCCCACTTTGTAGAATGATCCATATTATTTCCTGTTGTTCTCGACGTGGCTGATGTTCTGGTCTAACTGCAGAGAGGCACAGGTTAGACTTGTGTGACGTGCATCCCATTATATTTGCTTGTTTATTGACTCAACAGTCAGAAATGAAATAGGGGTCTGTAAATAAGCCAGGAAACCAGTGATTAATATTATGAGCACGTCCCATGCCGTCGGTGATACGCAATTCACCAACTCCCTGAGTCAAACCACGCGATCCAGTCTCTAACGACCGGCATAGGTTACTGGAGGCCAGTTATATCCATGAATTTCACACAGGCTTATCGCATTGCAGGAAAACCCCGTGCATGAAAATGGAAGCACCTTTGTCGTTATGTCTTCTTCCGGCAGCGTTTTTTAACATATCTCATTTCAACTAGACGCATTTTTCCTTTCAATTTACATGTTCCCGGGTTCCCGACAAAAATTGCTTTTATTTTATTTTTATTTCGACACATGGCCGCGTGCTGTGGATGGGAGTGAGTGAACGAGTTTGGTTTGACGCCGCTTTGAACAACATTTCAGTCATATCACGGCGTTTTAACTTGAAGTGGGAGAAATCCGAAAAACAATGCAGATCTTGAACATGGATATATGTATGGTGCTGACAAACCAAGAGCATAATCAGGGAGAATCTGGGATTCGAACCCACGATCATAGGTATCTGACACACTAAAGGGAATCAATTGTGCACCGCCTCATACAGCTAGGCCACCCGTGTGCCCTGCTTGGAATCGAAATCTGCAAACTGAATAATTATAAATAGGGGCATTATCTGAGGCGGATACACTTTCAATAACTTGTGTAACCATGAGTCATTTCCCAGAATCTTTCCTTGTCACCTGTTCATGATACACAATGGTTGTGCCATCTCCATGGGATCATTATACGAGCTGAACGGGCTTCTTCACTATAAAACAATGTGTTTGAACCTTCCTTTACACAAAGGGTCTCATAAATACAATAGCAAGTGTCTTTCAACCCTTTTACTTCATACCCGTTTTCTTAAACAGGAGCCAGCACGGTTGATGTCTTTGAAAGAAACTTGCAGAGTACAGAGGTGTATGACAAATACCATAAACACTGATTTGCAATCTGCTTATCGTCACACGTCTTATGTTGGGCTTGCTGGAGGAGTGCATGGCAACCAGTAATCGAACATGGCAGAACTTTCAATTAGACTGAGTAATTGAACGATATAAATACACCCAAAGAGAGAAATACCGGTTACGTTGCTGTTATGTTACCACAGTGAGAGCACGATGTCTCCTCCATGTGCTGACAAATGATGTCACGGGTAATATACATGGTCTATGAAACTACTCGAGTGCACGTGTATTAATTACCCAGCCATAGGGACGCTATGTTGTAATAAGTACAGACACACAATGTCATCGCTGCTATCATGTTTGATTGATGTTAATACTAGTAAATATGAAACTTCAACGTCAGAGAATAACCAGTCTCGATTATCCAACGAAACAGATTCTATTACTTCATCAGTAAACTAGTAAGTTACAATTAGACAACGGATGACTTCGTGAGTTACCATGTTGGTGCGATATGTTGAACAATTCACGTGTGTTTACAAGGTGATCATAAAGTAGACACAATTTATGGAAAACTGCTTCTTTAATACTGTAAAGGCGACGTTTCGGTATAGATCCTTATACCGTCGTCTTGATTGACAACGGGTATATGGATCTACATTTTTACCGAAACGTCGCCTTTACAGTATTAAAGAAGTTGTTACTTCAGTCTACTTTGTCATCGTCAACTTCTAAGCTATGCCTATCAAACAATTCATGGTGATCACATTTAAATAATATGGAGGTTAACATCATATAATCATCCAAACTGTTGTTTTCCAAATAAGTGGCAATTCACAATATTAATTCAATAAGTAATTAATCATAATGTATCCCTTGCGATCTATATCTAGTAAAGTTATCATTATTGTTTCAATGAGTAAATGAGTAAATTATTGTCAAACGTCGCGTGAAACCAAAAGAAAGAAAGAGTGACAAGGATATTGACATGTGCTTTGAATCATTCACTATTTCAGGCAGCATAACATGAATTAAATATATCTCCCGCACATTATTATTGAGCGTGATGGGCGAGGGAGGTTGGTTTTTCTATTTCTTAGAGAACATGTCACGAGTGATGAGAACTTTGTATTCCGCAAATGTGTTCAAACGAGTCAGGTCAAGCATTTTGAGCTGTTTTTACTGGCTGAAACACAACTTGTCTACAACACATGACAGATGACAGAAACACTAAATGCACCATCCACGAAATGAAAGTTTCTAAAGGGGAGGTTTAAATTGACGCGCCGATCCCTAGCAGACATTTCGAAAATTGAGCCAAATAATCGAGTATTGTTTTACGCTGCTTTTAGCAATGTTCCAGCAACATCACGGCGGAGGACACCAGAAATAGACTACATTATACCCATGAGCTGAAATGAACTCGGGTCGTGACGAGCAAACGTTTAAGTCATGTACTGCCCCACCTCCTTTTTAAGCTCACAATAAAGGGCAAACGTAAACATCACAACTGAAGTTGAAAGGTTCACACGCAAACATTTTGATTCATCCCTTTAACCTTACATTGGGTCATGTGGCTACTGAGCTACATTTGACTGGGCCTAAGTAAATAATCTATCAAACTGCAAACTGTCGTAAGCCAGTATATAATTATCGTATAAGCAATACATACTTACCATTTGCTAAATTGATTGTGCAAACCCTCCATAAGCCCGACCGTAATTCCATTGGTACATGAACGTCTTCAGTAGTGTTATCCGGTTTCATTATCCGGAGTGATATTCGATCCTTTGTGAACAGCCATGCATCAGTCGCAACGGCCAAAGATAAGGTTATTCCAGCAAGAGATCCAAAGGCAAATGACAGGCATGTCAACACGTACATGCTACATGCAACCTTCATTGTGCCAGGATTGTCGCTCCCAGATAGTCACGTCAGAGCATTCATTACATGGCGATGTCCAAGAAACACTTAGCTTCCTTAGCGTAATACTTGGTTTTGAGTAGCACGACCATTGTAATGCTATTTCGACTCAAACGAGATTTCCGTTGTTCAATGGAGATTGGTCTCCTCGTATTTGATTAATCACTGTTGAAATCTGATAGGTGAAATGTCATACCTAAAAAGGGTAGAGTAATTGCCTAACTTAATCTACATTGGACGGAAATAGTACTTCGCTATATTAACTCATCATAACATTTTTGAAAACACTGCAAATAAATATGTTATACACACATTTTGTCGTTGTTCATTAAGTTACATTTGTCCGCAGATTTCAAGTTTTCTGAAACCACGAACTCCGATATCACATCTTCAAGAGTAATCTGAATGTTCGGTATCCTTCGTTACATTGCGATTTCTCCGTGACCATATATACACAGTCGACCATCCCTGAGACATATGTCCATTCTATGAGATAGAGATACAGATGGAAGCCGACACTTGTTGAATTCCCACGGCAATGCTCCTCTTTTCGAAACAGACTATACGCCTCGGTCCAATCGTCAAAGGACCAATCTCCTGCCTTGTCACTGTTTAGTCAGGTACCACAATCTGTGAGGAATAGATACGTCACCGTTAGATTTCAGGGTCTAGACAAGGGTTGCATCAAAGGGGCTGGCTAGATAATAACTTCTTTGTGCCTGCATAGAAAGATTGCTTCATACTGACAAGACATAATTTTCCTGATGGGCACAAAGGCTTCTGCGTAGAGCGAATGAAAAAGCTTTGGTAATATCTGAAATTGAGGGCCAGAAATAAAGAATCGATTTATCTTTGATTTGTCTTGATAATAGGTCACCGCTGATGGCTCATTGGCTCCGCTCTGGACGTTTATCAAGTGATCGGGTTGACATCACTTATAAGTCTTTCTTCAATTTTTTATTGGTGATGGAAAGCCAAATTGGATGAAGATTTTCTGTGACCCAAAAGCTGCGAAATATGTGCTAGGAATCTAGCCATCATTTCTTTGGATTACATACATGTATCATATGTTCATAGATATGTCACTATTTTTGTATGATTTGTTAATTGTGTTATGTAGAACCAAGGTTAAGTTCACAATAGTAAATGTCACCCAAGATTTCACACAGCAAGTGTGCATTGAGTAAGGAGAACTTGGTCATAGTTGAATAGAAAATGTCTACTAAATATAATTACTTTTTAGAATTCTTCATTTATTTCAGTGTTTGCTTAAAATGAATTTGTTTCAAAATTATAATTCAATAGTTGCATACAAACACTACAATAGTTTATACTTACAGTTATGTGAAGCATATGAAATCTATTGAACATAAAGCATCCCCGGTACAATCCATCAACAGGTGACTCTAAACAGAAACGATCGCTCTTGTTTACACACGATGCCTATCGATCATTCCTGAAACTCATAAAACGCTCGTTTTCACGATAACTTCATTTTATATACTCCATAACATCGTCTGTCACGTGCTTTGTTAACTTCCTGAGGCGAAACCACACCCCTTTTACCCCGTGCCAATCACAGCTGTAACATACAACGCATACTAACTCTCCATCTCCATCAACCCCAGTCAAAAATAAAATCAATAGGTGTCATCCCAACCTGGGCTCGCGCCAAAGGGTTTTGGTAGATTATACGGGCGTATGGTACATAGCAATAACGTATTGTAACACCATGCAGAGGCCTCTTAGCAAATTGTATCTGGATGAACCAAACGAAACCTCACGGGGCAGCCTCTCGGCAAGACGCCATGAACAGGAGAATGATACCACACGAAATACGTTTGAAACGTCTTGGACACAATACCATCCTCTGCTTAGGAATACTATACTACCAGTTACCAATGTGTGGAAGCGAGTATGCGCTCCATACCATTATATGGTAAAGGCATCGATCATGATAAGAAAGCTTGGCGCTTCAAAGACCTTATTACCACGATCGTGCTCAATTGGCAGGTATATGTGCGAACAAGTCCTTTCTTTTCTCTCGAATAAGCAGCCCGGGGCTTGGTATAAAATTGTTAGACTTGTGATCAGGTGGTTGTTACGTGGCCAGAGCTGAAACACGGTTAGAGCATGAACTGTCCAGTCAAGGAGACGCTTTGCTGTATAAAGTGACTTGGGAAGATTGTTAATACGTGGGCAGGAATATTTGATTTGCGCAGTAAACAGGCGAAAGTATCCTCGAGGACCAGATCTTTAGGCAGAACATGCTGTTTAAGCGTAAAGAATATTGCTCAATAAAACTATTCAAGTTGATTTACTTGGGGCCATGATTATAAAAGTCGCGACATAACATGATTGTATGGTAGATATTGAATAATTCATAAGAACATCAGTAGAATGTAAGGACGGAAAAAGAAACAGGGTTCGGAGAACTCTATATTTTGTAATTTGTGTAACTATCATTCGAATGTTCATCAGATGTCTGTTGTTGTGAAGAGGGGATATATAAGTAAAATCATACCTTGACCTCCACAACTCCAAGACGCTCGTCATAAAGTAATGACAAGGTACTTTTCGTGTCACTTGTCTGTGATATTGCTTACTCTTTTCAGTGATCCATGCATACAATTTTCATCCCTATGTTGTCCTTTACGCTCTCTGGCGTTGACGTTTTGATTCGAATAATATCTCGTTATCTATCATTGACAATCGGTCGTTGAGATTCGTGTACCCTGATACATATATACGTATTAATAAGAAAGTGGCATATATAGATCAATACAGCTGGGAATTATTACACACTGTGATGAATCACCAAGGATCGGAGTGGAATAACGATGATACACAATCCCTGTGTCTTGGGCTAGGTACAGGCGTGGTTCAGAGAGCTTTCTTCTCAGCAGTCAGTGGTCTACCTAAGCTATGTAATGCCATGACCGGATACATTACAGGCTGGTGCTATATGTTTGAGACTGTTAAATAATTCTAGTGTCACATCAATATTTTATATAAACTTCTCATATATATATCGCGATATATTTGTGCTTGTCAAAACTTCTTTATGCACACAAGATCTTTCGCAGATCAACTTCTCTTAATTAGGTGTAATGTAAACTTTAACGTAGTCATAGGCGATGCACGACAGCAGTATTTGTGAAGTCATAATGCCTATGACGTAATGTCTATGACGCAATGCCTATGATGTATGATCTTGTGTGCATAAAGGATTTTTGACAAGCACAAATACGAGTGAGAGACACACAAAGAGAGCGAATTTCATACACAAGAAATCAAAACATACAACCAATACAAATATTGTCGTGATATTTGTGTATTGTATTCCGAGTGTATTCCATGCCCATATAGAACAGTTACGTAAAGACACAGGTGCATGAATTGAAGCATTACTTGAGTGTTCTTCAAAAGTTCGTTCAGTCGAATTAAAGCATGATGTGTATACCGTGATAACTGTTCTATTTTAGAATTATCAATGAATAGCATTTATCCTCTTCGTAGAGCGTCTTTGTACGTCATGTTGATATTCGTTATGTAATTATTTACAGCTAAGATTAACAAAATTGAAATCATGAACACAAAGTGATTTTCGTCTTCAATTTACTGATTACAAAATAAGCAAAAACGTATTGATATTCGTATATGGAATTTGTTTCTTCCTCTTTTGACCAGGATGTCAGTAAAGCCAAACCTAGCCTGACCTGCCCAAATCTTCTCAGGTTACAATAGACATTTTGTATGACCGGTTCTATGAGAAGACCATTCTTGATATTACAAATTGATTACACGATCACGAAGACACTTTCAATAATGTGTTTGGATTCCACATAGATTTTTCTGGACATATAAAACCACACACGCTAGAGAACAGTAACTGTCTAATACTGTTAAAATACAATATTGCAGATGTTGCAGTTAATTAATAAATTCCGCTGTTTTGACATACATATTTTACATATCAAACTTCATTCTTCAAATAACGTTTATGAATTTATAAACGCTCTTTCAGTTCAATAGCTCATCTTACACATTTGAAGAATTCACATTCAGCTAATGTACAACATTTATTTTGTTTTTGTTTTTTGTTTTTTTTTGCTTCACGATGAAATATTTGAAAGAGACGTGAGAATCGTTCGGTGATTGCGTTTATCTACTTTGTCCAGCTACAATTATGGCGAACAACTCACTAAACATCTCTCTCTCAAAAATAGCGTTGTCTAATTTACGACGTCATCAAGTTGCGACGGCATGTTCGAATCTCCAGAAATGACGTCATGATAGAACAATGTTTTTTGGTGAAATAAACCACGCTTCGCTCTTCATTGTTCTTTGCGATTTATCGCGTAGCTGTCTTATATTTATACAATATACTTGTTAATTGTATACCATTTGTTTCTTATTTTTTGGTTTCACACTGAATTCATTTACGTATAGATTTATGGTTTAACCTAATGTTTCAATTTGGAGACGACACGATATGGATATCTATCCTCAGTGGTTCAGAGCAAATTGTCAACAAGGAAAGCAAATGTCATCTGAAGTTTACTGAGAAAACAATATGTGTAATGCTGGATTTCTCATTGATAACATCTATGTAAAATTTGGGGTAAAACATTAAGGTAAAAAGAAGGCATCCCCATGGATACATAGTGTGCTCCCCTTCTTGCTTATCTGTTTCTTTATGCATAAAAATCGGAATTTCTGCTCGGATTGGCAAAGTCAAAACACGGTTATTTTGCCAAGAATTTAACTTCAGCTTCAGATCTATCGGAGATCTCATATCGTTCAATAACCATCAAATAGTCAATTCCCTTCCACTGATTTACCTACCTGAACTAGAAATAAAGGAGACCAGTGAGACCGCCTCATCTGGTTTACATGTAGATCTATACATAACGATTCAGAGTGACAAAACACTCTCAACAAGACTGTGGGACACGAGGGATGACTCCAACTTCCTTCATGTCGAGCAATATTTCAGCATATTCCAGCCTTTGGTGTTTACATTTCCCAACTTCTGAGATACAACCGAGCATGCTTTTTCTATCAATATTTCATACGACACTTGCTCAGAAGTTATTTGATCAAGGTTACAGTAAAGGACTCAACAGTAAAGGACTCAAAAAAGTTTTATGGTACACATGTGGAGGACATTTCCAAATTTGAGGCATCAGAGACCAAATTATGTCCAATACAATTCCCTAGTTTGACTTGTACAATATGTTCCCGTGTTTTTTTAGGTGAAGAATTGACTTGCCTTTGCATGCGTGTGTGACGGTTTCCACCGATGGGACAGAATACGCTCACCTTTTCACGAACACATGATGTCATCACTATTTGATAGTGATTCATAAACACATGCTCATGATATAGTCAGAATCGTACATTCGATTTCTATTGGATCTGGAAAGGGTTTTGTCTCTTTTATTAAAAGACATCACATTTATATGTATACAAACTCGCAAATATGGATCACTTTAAATAAATTACTGTTGAGGAAACTTTAGATATAGCTGAATTGAAATCACTTCGTATTCATGATTAATTATCCTTAATCCTTAACTTTGTCAATCAGGACGATTAAACTCAGATCTGTACCGTATTATAATAATGTTATCATGAGGTTCATTGTACAGTCCGTCCAGGTTTACAATCAAACGACAACCTGCAAAATGTCGATTTCATTGCCCTCGTTGTTAATAACAACGTAAACAATTCGATTGTCTTCTTCAGCATCTAAGTCCTGTCTGATCCACTTCAACAATGAACCAATCAGTGCAGAGACCTCTTCTTTCTTGTCTCCGGGGCTCAAAAGGAACGCTTCACTAGAAGCGGTGTTGATGACTTTCACAAAATATATTATCTACAGTGTTCAGGCAAAGAGTCCAAGCATTCATGGTCACTCTAAGCAGATTCCGGCATACGTGTCTGGAATGAAAGGACACAGTGCTAGCGGAAATAGTTCAATGTTGTGGATATCAACAACACAAGACTCTTTCCGAACTGCCAGCTAAGCTTCAAGGATGGCCAGGACACAGCCAGTGCCCACCTTACATGAAATATGAATTGTGAAGAATTGTGTAAATATTTGTGTCACAGTTAATCGGTTATGGTTAAACTATCATATGATGTCAAAGTAAGAGATCGATTCCTAATGCGCGTTATTGTAATCCCTAAATGGCCTGTAGACATTTGTGTCTGTGTTTACTTGAAACTACATAATATTGTTCAATCGACCTTGAGAATTTTAGTGTTTGTATTTTTCTGTCGATGAACAATGTGAATAAATGTCACCAACTGGTGGTTGTAGGAATCATTGTTTCTAAAATAATAAATACATTTTCCATCCTGATGCCAGGTTATGACAACTATCTGTTTTTGGAAACTGTTTAAAATGTCAACATTTCTAGTTGTTTGTATTTAAATGAAAAT